CACCTCTCCGCAGAGAAGTGCGAACCTCCTGCAGGGATGTTCCGGGCTGCGGCGTCTCACTGACGCCACCCCAGCCCTGGCATCTGCAGCGTGGACACGGGAAGTTTCCGCGCTTGTGGATGTCCCTGGACAAAGGTCGCGCTCACAAGAAGCGCGGCCCATGTCCAGGGGGCGTGCCTCATTGCCGGGCAATGAGGCACGCCAGCTCCGGCACGCCCCGGTGGCCCGGACGACCAGGGAGCGTCCTGCATCAGCTTAAGAAGCGCTCCGGGAATCTTCTCTGCTGCGCAGCCAAAGGAGGGAGCCCAGCTGTGGCGGGACCCTCGTGGCTCAGACTCTGCCAAGACCCCCAGCCAAGGGGGGGAAGCCTGCCAGTGCATGAGACCCCCAGTCCATGGGGATTGCCTGCCAGTGCCTGAGACCTCCAGTCCAGGGGGATTGCCTGCCAGTGCCTGAGACCCCCAGTGCAAGGGGATTGCCTGCTAGTGCCTGAGACCTCCAGTCCCAGGGGATTGCCTACCAGTGTGCCAAGCGGGAGACTGAGACTCCCAGTCCGAGGGGTTTGCCTACCAGTGCCCGAGACCCCCAGCCTGAGGGAATTGTCTGCCAGCTGCCCGAGACCCCGATCCAACAGGAGGGACCAGACGCCCACTTCAGACCTCAACAGGTACCTGTGTCTTACTTTCTATACCTGGGAGGCACCCTGTCGGACCTGTGGACATATGCTTTTCCCTGTTTTACTTGAACTGCACCCGTGTTGGCCCCCTACTCCCCCTGTTGGATTACAATCTGCCACAGAGACTCTTCCTTGCCCCTGTACTGGACTATAAGTGTTTTCAGCCCCTCCTTGCTGTTCTCTTGCTGCTGAGGTCACCCTCCCAGCGAACCCCCTATTGAGTGACTGTCTTCTTTTGTTCAATAAAGCTTTGTGCGTTTTTGCCATCTACTCTGTGTGTTCTGTCCTGCCTACCCTCCATCACACCTGTATAATAATAACTAAGGGACTGTCACCAGCCCTCACCAAGAGAGCCTGACTATGCCTGCCTAGGTCCTCCAACAAAAGAGATTAGAGCTTTAATTGCTTACATTGACCATGCATGTTGGTGGGTGGCCAGAGAATGTTTAAGGGTCAGTTCACATTACATGCATTTCAGTTGCTTTTTTTTCTGCATCCAAAACACACAGAAAGTAGGTTATATGGTTTTCAATGTCATAGTTCACATCAGTGCTTGGAGTTCCAGTTGCAGAAAAAAAAGTAGAACAGGCTGCATTTTCCCCGCACAGAGCTGTACTAGAACATAGTAAAATGCACTGGAACACACCAAAACGCACTGGAATGTACATGTCCCTATCTAAATTGAAGAAAAAAAGGGGGAAAAAATTAATCGGAACGCATAAAATGGCACTGAAACGCACCAAAAAACGCGCATGTGGAAATGCATCCAGTATGAATCTGGACTATGTTTCCATGGTGTGAACTGGCTCTAAGTCTCAAACTAAATGCTTATGAAAGTATTATGAAAAAATATATAACATTCCTAATCTACGTCCAAACTCTAATGACCTTTTTATTTCTGCATCACTGGCTGATTACCTACATTCCTTAGACTTGACAAAACTCTCACAACATGATGATGATGCCTTGGAAAACCCGATTACCACTGAGAAATTTGCATCAGTTATTTCTACAATGAAACCCCATAAAGCCCCTGGTCCTGGTAGATTTTCCCTACAATAATATAAAGCTTTTCATTATATTCAGCAGGGCCTACAACTACCACAAGGCACAACATTTGTGGACATTCGCAAGGCAGATAAAGACCTAACCCAGTGCACAAGTTTCCACCGCCATCTTTCTTCCCAATATAGATCTCAGAACATTTACAAAAATGTACAGTTAAGTTGATATATATTTGGACACAGGCACAATTTTAATTTTTTTTCAGGGTATTTTCCAAACATATTCAAGCTATATTTATATTATTATTATTATACAGGACATATATAGCGCCGACAGTTTGCTAAGAGCTTTACGGTTTGGGTGGTATTTAGAGACAAGGTCGGTGATGTAATTAGGGGCAGTGTTATGAACGGCTTTATATGTCAGTGTTAGTGTTTTGAATTTATCCGTCGGGCAATTGGAAGCCAGTGGAGGGACTGGCAGAGAGGGGTGGCAGATACAGAGCAGTTAGTAAGGTGAATGAGTCTGGCAGCAGCATTCCTGATGGACTGGAGTGGGGATAGCATGCGATGAGGTAGGCCAGTGAGGAGGGAGTTACAGTAGTCAAGGCGTGATATAATAATGGATTTGGGCTGAAAGTTCACACTCTCAGGTTTAATTTGAGGGTATGTACATCCAAACTGGAGGAAGGGTTTATGAATTTCAGCTCCTAAGAGTAGCCATTTTCCCCCTTTTTCAAGGAACCAAAAGTAATTGGACAATTGAATCTAAATCTGTTTCATGGCTAGTGTGGGCTACTCTTTTGTTATTTCTTCATCAGTTAAGCAGTGTAAAACGTCTGGAGTTGATTCTAAGTGTGGTATTCAGAATCTGTTGCTGTGAACCTACATCATGTGTTCAAAGGAACTAAACTAAACAAATCCATCAGAGAGCTAGCAGCAACATTAGGAGTGGCCAAATAAACAGTTTGGTATATTCTGAGGAAAAAGAAGAACGCACTGGTGAGCTCAGCAACATAAAAAGGCATGGACGTCCACGGAAGACAACAGTGGTGGACACTCTCCAGGAGGTGGGCGTCTTATTGTCAAAGTCTACAATCAAGAGAAGACTTCATGAGAGCAAATACAGAAGGTTCATCACAAGGTGCAAACCATTCATAAGCCTCAAAGAATAGAAATGCCAGATTAGACTTTGCTAAAAAAAAATCTAAAAAAGCCAGACCAGTTGTGGAAAAGCATTCTTTGGACAGAAGAAACTAAGATTAATCTGTACCAGAATGACGGGAAGATAGTGTGGAGAAGGCTTGGAACAGCTCATGATATCAAAGCACACAATGTCATCTGTAAAACATGGTGGAGGCAGTGTGATGGCATGGACATGCATGGCTTCCAGTGGCACTGGGTCATTGGTGTTTATTGATGATGTGACAGAAGCAGCCGGATGAATTCTGCAGTGTTTACAGATATACTGTCAGCCCAGATTCAGCCAAATGCAGCAAAGTTGTTTGGACAGCAATGCATAGTACAGATGGACAATGATCCAAAAGCAACCCAGGCTTTTGAAGGAAAAGAAATGGAATATTCTGCAATGGCCGAGTCAATCACCTGATCTCAACCCAATTGAGCATGCATTTTACTTGCTGAAGGCAAAACTAAAGGCAGAAAGACCCACACGCAAAGAACAACTGAAGACAACTGCAGTTAGAGCCTGGCAAAGCATCAGAAAGGAGGAAACATAGTCTTTGGTAATGTCCATGGGTTCCAGACTTCAGGCAGTCATTGCCAATAAAGGATTCTCAACAAAATATTAAAAATGAACATTTTATTTATGATTATATTCATTTTACAGTTACATAGTCTGGCTGAAAAAAGACAAAAATCCATCTAGTTCAATCATTAAAAAAAAAAAAGTTGTAATCCTATACCCACAGCTGATCCAGAGGAAGGCAAAAAAAACCCCAGCAAAGCATGATCCAATTTGCTCCTGCAGGGAAAAAAAATCCTTCCTGAGCCCCGAGAGGCAATCGGATATTCCCTGGATCAACTTTACCTATAAATGTCAGTATCCAGTTTTATTCTGTGTATCTAAGAAAGAATCCAAGCCTTTTTTAAAGCAATCCACTGGCCAGAGCCAACTCTTGAGGGAATCTATTCCATATAGATTAGCTTTGTCCAATTACATTTGAACCCCTGAAAATGGAGGGACTGTGTATAAAAATGGTTGCAGTTCCTAAAATTTGTACCTGATATTTTATGTTCAACCCCTTGAATTAAAGCTGAAAGTCTGCACCTTAAATTCATTTGGATTATTTCGTTTTAATTTAATCTGGTGGCATACAGAGCCAAATGTATGAATATTGTGCCTGTGTCCAAATATATACTATATGGACCTAACTGTGTATAACTGCCTTCTCCTTCATTTACCTAGCCTCGGTCATTAAGGCTAGGTTCACACCTATGCAGTTTGAGTTTGATCCGTTTCTGCAGTGCATTTTGCATATGCGATTTTTATGCGTTTTGCTTTTTTTTTACTTGGTGCTAGGCAGATTTAAAATGCATGAAAACTGCGGCTGAAAAAATGCAGAAAAAACGCACCATATGCTTTTCTGAAGCGTTTCCTTGAAGTCTATAGAACCAAAAACGCAACTTTTTGTGTTTAAAAAAGTCCCTGACCCTTTCCAAAAAACACACCTGTCCCATAGGAAATCATGTTAAATGGACTGTAGTGCGTTTCTGCAAAACACTGCAGAAAATGCTTAGATGTGAACCTAGGATTAGACCAGGTAGGATTTATTTTGATTCAAAATATTTGATATTATTATTATACAGGAATTATATATCACCAACAGTTTGTGCAGCGCTTTACAACATGAGGCAGACAGTACAATTACAATACAATTTAATACAGTAGGAATCATGAGGGCCCTGCCTGTTAAAGCTCACAATCTAAGATATCACCATAGGAGTACTGAATATAATTAATGTGCCCACCCAGAATAAAATCCCTTCACTCTTAAGCTTACCGTACACAAGTAGATTTTTCAGCATTCAGACAGACATTTGTACGAAAAATCTCATCAGTACATTTGATGACATGATGAATGTCGTTCGAAAGTACTTAACCACCTTCCGCCCGCCCTATAGTACAATAACGGACACAAGGTGGTTCTCTCGTTCTGATAGGACGTCATATGACGTCCTACCATTCTCACTGCGCATGCGCGGCTCAGGGAGCGTGCAATGCGGCGATCGCCGGTCCGCTGTGTCCCTCAGACACAGCGGATCACGGAAAGAGCCGAAGATGTCGGCTCGGTCATGTGATCAGCTGTGTCCAATCAGCATGTGTCCAATGATCACATGTAAACACGGAAATGCTGGATATTGGCATTTTCTCCTCTCAAGCTGTCACGCTAATAGCTCGAGAGGAGAGTCGGTAATCGGCTTTTCCCGCAGAGGGGACATGTACACTGATCATCAGGGCACTGATGATCAGTGTGCCCTGATGATCAGTGTGGCCCCAGAAGTGCCACCTGTCAGTGCTCATCAGTGCCATTGCCCATCAGTGCCACATCAATGCCACATATCAGTGAATACAAGTGCACATCAATGCCACATATCAGTGCCCATCTGAGCTGCCTTTCAATGTCACCCATTAGTGCCAGTCAGTGCCACCTATCAGTGCCAGTCAGTGTCGCCTATCAGTGCCAGTCAGTGCTGCCTAACAGTGCCAGTCAGTGCCGCCTATCAGTGCCATATATCAGTGTCATGTATCAGTGCTGCCTTTCAGTGCCCATCAGTGATGCCTGTCAATGCCCATCAGTGCAACCTACCAGTGCCTCCTCATCAGTGCCACCTATCAGTGTCCATCAGTGCAGCTTATCAGTGCCCATCACTGCAGCCTCATTAGCGCACATCAGTGAAGGAGAAAAATCACTTATTTTCAAAATTGTATAACAAAAACTAAGAAAAATTGTTTTTTTTTTCAACATTTTCAGTGGTTTTTGGTTTGTTTAAGAAAAAATAAAAATCCCAGAGGTGATTAAATACCACCAAAAGAAAGCTCTATCTGTCTCAAAAAAATTATAAAAATTTCATATGGGTACAATGTTGCATGAACCGCGCAATTGTCATTCAAATTGTGACAGCGCTGAAAGCTGGAAATTGGCCTGGGCAGGAAGGGGTTATAAGTGCCCTGTAGGCAAGTGGTTTAAAAATGATCCCAGGCTTATCTTCCCATCATAAGAAACTTGCCACCTATTTATTCATTGTTGCGAAGCCAGTCATAGCTCGAGCTTGGAAGCCATGGTCTGTGTCCTTTGTGGCAGTTCGGAGCCCTGATGATTAACGAAAAGATGTCCAGTATCTTGCACAACAATCATGCTAAATGTTTGAAAGTCTGGATGCCCTAGTGGTCGTACGCTCTCCCTACGCTACATCTGACAAGCCTGGGCTCCTATACCAGATGAAATTCTTCCTTAGCCTGCAGGACCTACCCCCTTCTGATCTCTTCCTTTTCTCCATCTTCTTTGTCTTCTTTCTTCCTATCTTGTTCTGGGACCATACGTTGGTCCCCCTTTTTACACTCATTATTCAGTTACTCATATGAGGTATCCAGCCGGACCCGTGTGCCCAGAAAGTACATACAGACCAACTGTCTCACCCGTGTGGTCGTTCTTTGGCTTCCACCTTGTTAAAATAGTTGTTGCACATTTCTTTGCCCATGTATGTTTGACTGGATTTTGTCTGTCTCCCCTGTGTGGGTAAATTGGACTATGTTGTATCGTTTTGTTGTAGCAATAATAAAAAATTATTGAACCAGAAAGTACTTAAAAAATGTTTTAACACTTGATATTGGAGTAAATAGTTTCTTGAACAAAATCACATTCACTGTTAGAAATTTGTTTATTCTACAAAAAAGTATCCATTCTGCTTCTTCGAATTTTCTTGTCACTGCATTCGAAAATGAACATCAGTTTGACCCAATAATGATTAAAAAATTGGACAAATGTTCTTGAGATGAGAAGTTTTTAATAAAATTCAAATAGTGTATGTTCAGTTTTAGTTTCTACTGACACAGAGCCATTGACTGCTTCAGTTAGTGCTTAATGGAAGACACCTTATGTTATAGGCTTGGCACTAATATGTTCTCAAGATTAAAAGCAGTTTATTCTCACCCAACAGCAGCAGTGAGCGTCAACAAAAGTGTTTCAAAAAATATTTTCCTCTCCAGAATGTTACTCAGCAGAGATACCCCCTACCCCACTCATTTCCAACCTAACCCTCGAACCACTCTGTCTACACATCAGAAACAATCCAAACTTATCAGGAGTTCCATCTTCAAATTATACTGGGGGCTGGCCTAAAAGGTTTTGTTTGCTAGTGTACCCACTTCCTGAAGGTGTGGCAGTAACCTATTTGTCTAGGATTATCCACAATGTTTGTGTCACTCAATGGACGATAAAAAAACATGTTAAAGACAGAAGTGTTTTATGTTCCACTTGAATAGTATGGCCCTACAGCAATGTTTGGGCTGCTTCTGATCTTTGCAGGTTATCAAGAAAGGAGGAAGATCTATAATGTTGTCCTGTGGATTGAAACAGGAGATCTGAGGCCTCCTGTTTACTTTTTCTAGCATGATTTAAAGTGCTACTAAACCGATAACAGTAAAATCAGTCTGTATATGCAGTAAAGCATGCATGTTATACTGTGGACCCTTAGGGGTTAAGACTCTGCATCGTATAAAAAGGCTTTTTGATCCTGTCTTCTCTGATCCTCCCCTTCTTCTACTCCCTCCACTCCATCTGCAAATAGTAAAGAGCCCTAGGAGGCACTCTGCACATGCTCAGTGTAGTGTATATGGTCCTCCAGCAGATTGACAGCCTCAGCTCTGTTCCTGTGGGCTGTGTGGAGGGGGATATGTCTCTCCCCTCCAATCAACTCTCAGAGCTCTCCTCACTAAGCTTTGCAGTTTTTAATTTCATCTCTTCGCCTCCTTTTTTTTTTTAACTCTTACAAGTGTTAGAAATTCAGCACTTTGAATGGATGTAGAGAAGAGAATACTGCAGATAAACAGGTACAACTTACGTTAGAGGATTTGTCTCATCTCTGTGTATCACCTGAGGCCAGTCATTTCACTGGGGATATGTAAGGTTTTACAACTACTTTAAGCACTTCATTGGTGTATAATGGGGTGAAATATACCAAGACAATTCACAAAAACACAACAGTATAAAAAACATATCTACCTACTTTATCAATGTATTTTTCCATACAGAAAAATTGTACTAAGCGGTATATACTAACATTGCTTGCATATGCAGAAAGAGAGGCGATAAACAGGTACAGCTTATGTAAGAGGATTTGTTTCATCTCTGTATCACCTGAGGCCAGTCACTTCACTGGGCATATGGAAGGATTTGCAAGTAGACATGCAATTTGTTTCATTATGAATCGAAATTCTGACAAAATTTTATACACAATAGTAATGAATTTCAACTCATCTGAAATAAATTATAAACAAAAATAACAAATTCATTCTTTGTTTTATTCAGATGACAGGATACAATAGTTTGGACCTTTTGTTAATGTTTGAGGCATCCAAAATAACATAACAACATAAATTATTCAAATTGCTTCAGATCCATTTCTTTTTTTATCCTAGTGCACCTAGCATGAATATTCTAATAAAATTCCGTTTTGTACTTTCCACTTGAGACCATTCATTTCATTTGTATGTGCACAGCCCAACAAACAAGGTCAGTTGGGATTGGGGAAATAAATTCAATTTAATAATACAAATACAAAAGAATAGCAGAACTTTGGAAAATACAAATCGATTCGGAACAACAAATATATACTCTCCCAAAAGAATGAATCGTTCCAAAAATGAATCATTCTAACATAACAAGTATGGCAAAACAGAATGATTTACTTAACGTATGAACTCAATGCACGTCTTTATAACCACTTTAGGACAGGATCATAAGCGGGAGAAAAAATTAGAAGTTTCTGTTCACATTTGAGCACTGGCCTCATTTACCTAATGTAATGTTTGTTTTTAAAGCATTTTACGACTGTCAAAATGGGGGTGACAGACCTGTAGGTGCCCTTTTTTTGTGGAATCACTCACAAATAGTATATGGTGCTCTGAGATGTTTTATATTTTTGGTACAACTGATAAATAAGTCTTTGGCACAACAGTTCAGTGAATAACCACTCTCAGCATTTGACAAGATATGTTCCTGGAGGACAGTTTCAGTTACCAGGGGTAGTGTTCCTTGACAGAAAGTGATTTCAGCAAACTGCACTGGCTCCATGCTGCTGTACCAATCAACGATGTGAATGTAGTGCTGGGGAGCCTTCCTGGAGCTCTCCTTGCTTGGTTGGCACCTTTCCCTACATTAGGTGTTGTACCTCGCAAGTGGTTTCCTGTCTCTGTCCAACCACTCGCCCAAAGTGTGCCAAAATGCCTTGGATTCCCTTATTTAAAAGGTACCCTCATCTAAAATGGTTGCCAAGTCCCTGAGGGACTAATTCCCTTACAAGATCCTTCTTCCCATGCAGCAATGGCACAACACCACCTACAGATGAGGAGACTAGCTGTTAGGGATCCGGGTATGACCAGAAATGTGTGGGAACACAGGCGTAGTCAGGGCTGGGGAGGTGGAATGGTCAGGCAGGCCATTTGGTACTGTTAAGCACCGCCTGGCGGCATCTCTAGCAGCCCACAGCACGGGTTCCTCAGGGCGCGGGGTCTAAGTCCCAATCTGCTTATTCACCAGGGCCCCTGATGGTGAGGATGGACTTGGAGCAGACTGAGACCAGGTCGCGACCCCTGAGTATGTCCGGCAATGGTAGAGAGCAACGTCAGAGGTGTTCAGGGAAAGGACGTGAAGAGGCTGGCAGACCTGGTAACAGGGACAGATCAGTGCGGGATGGATGGATCGTCTGGGTAGCGTAAGGCGTAGTCAGGCAGGCCAGGTCAGCAACGTGCGGGCAACGAGGTACCGGGGGAGCAGGCAGAGAGAATGGTCAGGGTCACAAGCCGGGTTCAGTAACTCACGGGCAGCTCGGTACAGAGGATCAGGCAGAAGGATGGTCAGGCAAGCCAGGGGTTAAACAGGAGACGGTGAGCAGAGGACAGGATCAAAGCAGGGTCAGCAACAAGTCAGATAGGCAGCAACACAGGATACCAGGTACAGGGGCTCATGGGAAACAATACACCAAGGCACTGATCACAGGCCTGGTCCTGCTTAAATACACCTCCTGCAATCAGCCTCAGGTGATGGCTTGATTGCAGGAGTGACATTCTGGCTGCTGAGAGCACCCGCTGGCCAGCCTTGGTACTGCAGCCCACACACAGGTGAGTCCCACCACCATTGGCGAGTCCATTCCTGACACTAGCTGCATTTGCCTACAGACCCCAATGTGAAAGTACAGATGCAGTAGCAGATTCTTTTTATGAATACATTAAGGCTCTATTAGATCCTTGAAAACTCCTCTGCCTTTATCTGCGACTGTCCAGGTTGCTGGTGCCAGGATACTAAAACTTTGAACCGGAAGTGTTCCCATTGTTCATTCAAAGTAATTGGGATCAATGAACTGGAGTTCGCCTATCATCTTCAGCTCTCCATCCTGAATCTTCTTTCAGTGGTCCATCAGGACCAGGACTGCAAAATAATTGAGAGGGCGCCACACTTTACTTTGAGGAAGTGATCCTT